AAAAAAAGATGGCGGCGCCCAGCTAATGCCGGTACCGGGCCGCGCCATAAAAAAGGTTGGGGATACCGGGCCGCGGCGTAAAAAAGGTTGGGGATCACTGGTCTAGGCTACTGGCTAGGCTGCCCCTCCCACAAAAATCCTTCATTGGAGAATGTGATTGATGACACCCAGCCCTGAGAATGGTTGGAGAATCTGATTTATGACACTCAAGGGGATGAGGGGAAAACAGGGTCAGAGGGGATAGTAAATTACGTGTCTCAGAGTTGGTTTCATACGGGTTAGTGCCGGACATGTTGCTCCTAATAAATTTTTTTGGATTCTTTTGAAGCTTAGCTCAAGGCTCATGATTTAATTTAGGGCAATCGTCGGAACCCTGACACAGGCGCTCGCAGCCCCACTCGTGCGGGCCCTTGAAGTCCCTTCAGGCGAGCATCACCGCGTGCGTCACCGGCGCTCGTGACTCTTCTCAATGCACGCAACTTAACTGTGGGCAAGGAAGGTTGCACAATGTGGCTCAACTCAACTTAACGCCTGTCTTGCTTAGCAAACGGATACTTGGGGCTATGGTGGTCGCACATCAAGAACCACCTGGAGTTTCCCCCGAGACTACAACAAGAGGGGACTTCTTGAAATCTCCACTGTTAACGACCTTGGTCTTGCCAACTACCGTGACGCCTGAAAGGCCACATTCCCAGACTGCAGACCGAAAAAGCTGAGTTATTGTTGTGGGAACCATATTTTCGAGGGGTGGAAAAACGGAAATGATACAAATGGAAGCCTGTGGAGATTCTCAGTCATCCAGCTCATGGTTGTCCCGAAGATGCTTTTTCAAGAGGGAAGTGGATTTTCTTGTTTCGTTTTTTTGACGTTTCGCTTCTCATCCAAGAAATTTCTTCATTCAGCTCTGGCTGGATGGTGAGGAAATTAAGGATTTATACTCCTTGTAGACAAGCTGGTCCTTTGCATCCTTTTTAGAGAGTCGTTGAGACCACTTGGAATTCTATGTGTGTCCCGAGAGTCACAGCAGTGGAAGGATAAGACATCAAATATCTCCAGTCTACCCGACAGTCCTTTCATCGAGTCCAAAACAGCTTTGTCAACTCATAAAATATTTCTATAGTCTTTTTAGAGTTGCCAGCAGAAAGGGGGGGAGGAGCAGTGCGGCAGCTTGCAAACCGAAAATGCATTCCATAAATGCTTTCAAAGATAGTAACTAGGTGACTGAAGTTTCTGCTGTAGTGGGCCGCGGTGAGTCCTGTGGGCGTTGTTGGAGGGGCGCATACAGCTCCTTCTAGACAGGCTGCAACTTGGGTCAGGGGAGGGTGAGTAGGTGGGTCACCAGGTTGTCAGGATGGACGGCACAACCTACCATCGGATCCCCCGTTCTTGCCGTTTTTTTGCCCTCCACCCCACGGAAATCCCGGAAGGCGAGAGTAGAGGTAGAGTAGAGGTGGGGTAGGAGCTTAGTTTCGCTTTTCAAAGTGACTCTTTTATTGCTTTTAAAATCAGGATTTAAAAAAAACAAAAAACAAATAAAAATGCAGACACGGTCAAAGGAAAAGAAACATACACAGAATGTACCTTTTTTTTTTAAATGAAAAGACGTGTAATGTCAACTCTTAAAATATGGTCTTTTTAGAGTTGGGAGGGGGGAGCAGTGCGGCAGCTTGGAAATCGAAAGTGCATTCCATAAATAGTTTTCAAAGAAAGGAACTAGGTGACTGAAGTTTCTGCCATGCAAAATTCTAACTGGAGAGCATGACTGATGACTCTGGGCTAGGGATGTGTCCCATTGGAGAATATGAATTATGATACACCCAGGGGGTGGGGGGAAAAAACAGGGTCAAGGGTGACAATGAATGATGTGTCTCAGAGTCGGCTACACCCAAGTAGCACCGGCATGTCGTCTCCTAATAAATCTTATCTTGAGCTTTGACATTCAGGCTAGAGACTCATGATTTAAATGGGGGTCACTACTGGAGCCCTGACTGGCTTCACACCCATTTGCACCACTCAGGTGAACCCGACGATGTAGATAAACCTCCAAGAAGCCTCAACAGCTCTCTAAAAAGAATGCCAGCTACCTGCAAGGCGTAAAATCCTTCCGTTCCTCACCAACCAAAGATGAAGCAGCTTCTTGGACGAGAAGAAGAAAGTCCAGTTGTCTCTTGATTAAAAAAAAAGCATCTTTGGGATACAAATGGAAGTAGTCTTTGGCCTCTTCAGAGTAGCATCCTAACCCAAGAAGAACTCCAAACCACGCCAAGTCAACCGAGGCCGCAGAAACTGGCATATCTATAGGCAGGAATGCTTTTGTGATTGTAGGTCTTTGTCTCTGCCGCCCTAAATGGTGATTCTACTGTGTTTCTCATCAACCGGAGCGGGGGGGGGGGGTGTTGAATAATAATAATCATAATCAAAAGACACTGAAAAACGCTACCGGCCCATCCACAGGCAGCCTCTCTCAGTGGTGGTGCTTGATAAAGTTCGAGTTGTCACTGAACCTCTTCCCGCAGACCGAGCACTCGTAAGGCTTCTCGCCCGTGTGGATCCGCTTGTGGACGATGAAGTTGGAGTAGTCATTGAAGCGCTTGCCACAATCCAGGCACTTGTAGGGTTTCTCGCCCGTGTGGATGCGCTTGTGGCGGGTGAGGCTCGAGCCGGTGTTGAAGCCCTTCCCGCAGTAAGAGCACTTGTACGGCTTCTCACCTGTGTGGACCCGCTGGTGGATGAGGAAGGCGGCCCGGCTGACGAAGCTCTTCCCGCACTCAGAGCAGTTGTACCACTGGTCGCCTGAGTGGGTCCGCTCGTGGGCGATAAGGTTGGAACGGCGGCGGAAGACCTTGCGGCAAATCAGGCAGGTGTTGTCCGGCTCGCTGGGGAAGAGGCTGGGCTGCAGGACGCTCTCGTCCAAGTCCTCGTAGGTCCCCTGGGAATTGATGAATTTGCCCTCCGCCTTCTCCTCGCTGTTCCAGTAGAGGGTTTCGGAAGCTTCTCCCGGATTGGGAGAACAGGAGACGCCGGGCTGGCCTCTACCGGACCACTCCCAACCTGATTCTCGGTCCTCGCTGTCTTCCTCGCAGAACTCCTCCTCATCTACATAAATGGATAGAAAAATCCATATACATTGAATCAATCAATCAATCTGCTGGCATCCTCATTCTCTGTCTTGCATTTCTTATCATCCATCCATCCATCTATCCTCCATCTACCTACCATCTATCAATCAATCATCTACCATCTATCAATCAATATCTATCAATCAATCATCTATCTACCTACCATCGATCCATCTATCATCTATCAATCTCGTCTCCAAATAAATGAATGAAAATGAATAAATCAATCTGCTATAATTCTCTTTCTGTACCTCACATAATTTCTCATCATCTATATAAACATTTTTATAAATATATAAGTAAATTGAATCAATTTCCTTGAATCTTCATTCTAACCTGCATAATTTTCATACATGTGTGTATGTACACACACACATACATGCACGTGTGACATATATGTTATGTTTTTAAAAAAATATTCTGTACCTCAGTTAAATTTCTCATCTTCTATATAAACATTGATATAAAAGAAGAAACAGACATCCTGAGATCTCTGGAATTTAAAATTACATTTATTGTACTTACTAAACTTTCGTCAACCTCTGCTGACATCGACGGAGTATTAAGCTACCATTACAGAGATCACTGCCTTTATATATCATTAATCTTACCCTTGCACGCGTAATAGGCCCTTTCAACATATATAGATAGAACACACACACATACATGTATGAAAATTATGCATGTTAGAATGAAGATTCAAGGAAATTGATTCAATTTACTTAGATATAAACATTAATATAAACAAATATCTAAGTAAATTGAATCAATTTCCTTCAATCTTCATTCTAACATGCATAATTTTCATACGTGTGACATAGATGCATGTTTATAAAAAATATTCTGTACCTCAGTTAAATTTCTCATCTATATAAACATTAATATCAACATCTATCTAAGTAAATTGAATCAATTTCCTTCAATCTTCATTCTAACCTGCATAATTTTCATACGTTTCCTACAGAATATATATATATTCTGTACCTCAGTTAAATTTCTCATCCTCTATATAAATATTTTTATAGACATATATTTAAGCAAATTGAATCAATCCATCCATCTCCATTGACTCTTCCTGTGAGAAGGCTGCAAAAGGAGATCACGCAACCCCGAGATATTGCAACCGTCATAAATACGAACCGATTGCCAAAAATCCAAATTTTGATCACGTGACTGGGGGTGGGGTGGGGGGAGCAGAAGAAATGCCACAACGGTCATGTCAACTTTTTTTTTCAGTGTCGTCGTAATTCCGTTCACTAAACGAACGGTTGCAAGCCAAGGGCCGCCTACCAATCAGGAACTACCACCCACAGCAGTTTTCCCAGAATGCTTCCCTTTCAGAAGTGGCAACAGGCCCCCCCAAAGTTTCCGTCACCCAAAGGCCCTCACCCAACAGCACCACGTGTCGGTCGCTTTCCTGTTTTGCCTCTCTGAGGGGGGCTCTCGGCCAGCTTTCCAGGGGAGCCTTCTCAGTCAAATGGTCCTTCTCCGGGAGGCTGATGGCCTGAAAACAGAAGAGAGGCCCCAAGCCCTTCAGTTTAGCAAGACAGTTTCAGGACACGCTGGCTGAGCAACACTTCTGGGTGCCTTTGGATCTATTGCGTGACCCTGCGATTTTCCTGGCCATGTTGGCCAACACTGTTTCCCTTGCCGCCGCCTCCGTCGCCTCCTCCTCCTCCTCAGGGCTGAGAAAGAGGGACTGGCCCAGTCACCCACCCACCCCTCAACCTCATGTCCAAAGCAGATCTTGTTCCCTTTGGTTCTTCTAACTCCAAGTGTTCTTTCTATGACCTTAGTTTTCTTTCTCCTTCCTTCTTTCCTGCCCTCCTTCCCTTTCTCTCTTCCCTTTTTTCCCCCCTTCCTCCCTCCCCTTTCTCTCTCCTTCCACTTCCTTTCTTTTCCTTTCCTCTTCCCTTCTTTCCTTTTATTCCCTTTTCCTTTCCTCTTTCCTTTCATTCCTTTCTTTTTCCTTTCCTTTCCCCTTCCTTCTCCTTTCTTTTTCCTTTCCCCTTTCCTTTCATTCCCTTCCTTTCCCTTCCCTCTTTCCTTTCATTCTCCTTTCCTTTCCTTCCTTCCTTTCCTTTCCCTTTCCTTTCATTCCCTTCCTTTTCTTTACTCTTTCCTTTCCTTTCCCTTCTTTTTCCTTTCCTTTCATTCCTTTCCTTTTTACTCTTTCCTTTCTCTTCCTTCCTTTTCCTTTCCTTCCTCTTTCCTTTCATTCTCCTTTCCTTTCTTTCTTTCCTTTCCTTTCCCTTCCTTCCTTCTTTCCTTTTCCCTTTCCTTTCTTTCCCTTCCTTTTCTTTACTCTTTCCTTCCTTTCTCTTCCTTTTCCTTTCCTTTCCTTCCTTTCCTTTTTACTCTTTCCTTTCCTTTCCTTCCTTTCCTTTTTACTCTTTCCTTTCCCTTCCTTCCTTTTCCTTTCCTTTCCTTTCCTTCCTTTCCTTTTTACTCTTTCCTTTCGCTTCTGTCCTTTTCCTTTCCTTCCTCTTTCCTTTTTACTCCTTTCTTTCCCTTCCTTCCTTTTCCTTTCATTTCCTTTCCTTTTTACTCCTTTCTTTCCCTTCCTTCCTTTTCCTTTCATTTCCTTTCCTTTCCTTTTTACTCTTTCCTTTCGCTTCCGTCCTTTTCCTTTCCTTCCTTTCCTTTTTACTCCTTTCTTTC